GAGGCGCTTTCTAAATGCCAGACGCAGCGGGGACCAAAGAAGAATAGAGCTGTGTCTGGAGGCCCGCAGGGAGACTAAAAAACTTTTGAAGAGGGTCATTAAGAAGGCCAAAGCCACTGCCTAGAGAGACTTTATAGGGACACTGGAGGCAGACCCGTGAAGCAGACCATATCGCCTGGTCATGGGAAAGCTAAGGCCATACTCTGCACCCCTGACGGAGGTGCTCGAACCGGACGTACTGGACTAGGTGTTGGGGGGCCTCTTTCCTCAGGTGGAGCAGATCAATGCTCGGGACGTGCGCGGGGTGCAGGTGGATGGTGCAGCGGTAACGCTGGAAGAGGTGCTGGCTGCGGCGAAGAGGATAACCGGTGGGAAGGTTTCGGGACCGGATAGGGTCCCGGGCATAGTACTAAGAGCAGCGGCAGTACACTGCGGGGTCGGTCTCGCGGAGCTTTTCACGGAGTGTCTTAGGACCAGAAACTTTCCAACAGCCTGGAAAAGGGCTAGGCTGGTCCTAAAAAGAAGAAGCAGGACGCCCAACCCGATCTGCCTGGCTTCAACAGACCGATCTGCCTGCTGGATAAGATTGGAAAACTTCTTGAAAGGATAATAATGTCAAGGATTGGTGAGTGTCTGGAGTCAAGGGGTCTGCTTTCACAGGCGCAGAATGGCTTTCGCGTTGGACGCTCAAAGGTAGGTGCTATTATGGTGGTGAAAAGTATTGTGTGGAAGTGCGTGGACAGTGAGCGCGTCCGGATCCTGACCTCGCTAGACATCAGCAATGCGTTTAATTCGCTACCGTGGGAGACCATCTTCAGGACGTTGGACGAGAAAGGCCTTCCCACGTATATCGCGACCATTGTTAGGAGCTATCTGTCGGACCGATCGTTGATGTTTGTCGGGAGGCGAGGACGATTGGAGGAAAGACGGGTGTCGTGCGGGGTCCCGCAGGGTTCGGTGCTGGGACCAACCCTGTTGAATATCGCCTATGACAGTGTCCTGCGGGTTCCGATGTTAGGGGGTTTCCGGGTCGTCTGTTATGCAGACGATAAGGCCCTCCTGTCATTCGGGCGGGACCTKTCAGAGGCGATCGCGAACGCGGAACGGGACCTCGATGTAATCGTGGGTGCGATCRAGGAGCTTGGTCTCGAAGTGGCTCCACATAAGACGGAGGCAATGGCCTTCCCTGCCTCTGCCATCCGCAGAGGCAGGAATGTTCCGGCCCCTGCCATTAGGGTTAGGGGGTCTCGGGTTTTCATAGGTCCCAGAGTTAAGTACCTGGGCGTGGTGTTAGACTCGGATCTTACGTTCAGGCCCCACTTCGCAGCCTTGATTCCTAAGGCGGAGGGGATCCTCCGGTCTCTTGGAAAGCTCCTTCCAAACCGTCACGGACTGGGGGAGAAGAAAAGCGCCTCTACGGCAGCGTGATCAAATCAGTGCTTTTTTATGGGGCGCCGGCGTGCTGGCGCGCTGCCGCGGAGGACATGCGTGTCAAGCTGGCCATTCGATCGTTCCAGAGGAAGGTGGCGATCAGGGTGTGTGGCGCCTATAAAACGGTGTCGTTTCATGCGGTAATGATGGTTGCGGTGATCATTCCCCTCAATCATCTTTCGCCCTTACTGGCGAAAGTGTATGCGACCCTTAGTGACGCGGAGGGACCTGTCACTTCAAGCATTAAGGTGGCGCTGGGCGCTGAGGCCAGTAGGATAGCGATTGCTGCATGGAAGGAAGCGGAGATTAGCCTAGTAGGGGTAATGTGGGAAACGGGGGCGCGGGTGAGGGCGGCTATTGCTGGCAGGTTGGWTGAGTKGGTTAAGAGGCTGTACTCTATAAGTACGACCTTTCACATCACTCAGCTAATGACTGGAAATGGCTGCTTCCCTGCGTACCTTTTCAGAATAAGGAAAGCGGCATCTCCGCAGTGCTTTCACTGCGGAGCAAATGTAGATGATGCGGATCACACCCTGGTTGACTGCCCTGCGTGGGTGAATGAGCGGGACGGTCTTGTCAGGGAATTGGGGGTGGTGCGGGTCTCCCTCTCCGGCATACTCAGGGCATCCATGGATATGCCGGGGGAGTGGACTGCATNTTCACTGCGGAGCAAATGTAGATGATGCGGATCACACCCTGGTTGACTGCCCTGCGTGGGTGAATGAGCGGGACGGTCTTGTCAGGGAATTGGGGGTGGTGCGGGTCTCCCTCTCCGGCATACTCAGGGCATCCATGGATATGCCGGGGGAGTGGACTGCATTCCAGTCCTTCGCGGGTTGCGTGATGCGCGAAAAGGAGATTGCGGAGAGAGAGAGAGAATTGATGAATGGGAGAAGGTTGCGTGCGAAACCGCCGAGAAGTCTTGCTCCTAGGCGGCCCCCCCAGGCGAGGCTTCGCGTAACTCTGGCGGCGAATGGCTGATGGCTGTGCGTCGCTTCTCACTTATGGAGTGCCGTCATTGTATGAGAGTAGAGTGGGCCTTACCAGAACACCGTTCAATGTAAGGTCAGGCTAGGAGTGAGTGAGTAGCCTGCGTCTCCAGTGGGGTTCATGCTCAACTGTTTAGTGCGCTTTGGTTTGTCAGATAGCGCCTTCGGGGAGTAAACTTTCCTGTTAAGAGCGCCGGATGCAGGAGAAGTGGGAGTGTGGTCGTGTGTGGAAGAAAGCGTGGCAAACTTCCGGCCGGGCTTGTTAGGGGAGAGGCACAAAGGCAATTTGAATTGTACTAGTCGTGCGTTGCGCCTGCCTCCTCTCCTCGCGGGTGAGTGTTGCACCAGCTGGGTTTTTAGTCGGGAAGAATCCGAGAATTCTTTAGATACCGGGCCCAAGGGGCCTTTTGAAGGTTTTCCCCTTTGCAAAAAAAAAAAAAAAGGGATGCGTCAGGGTTGCGTCAGAGTTGCGTTAGGGTTAGAACGTAAAGTTTGCTTTAGGGTTGGAACGTCAGGGATTTTTTGGGGATGCCTTAGGGTTGAAACGTCGGGGTTGCTTTAGGAATGCGTCAGGTTGGAAACGTCTGGGATGCTTTAGGAATGCGTCAGGGTAGAAAAGTCGAAGTTGCTTTAGGAATGCGTCAAGTTTATTAGGTCGCGGTTGCTTTGGGGATGCGTCAGGGTTAGAACGTCGGGGATGCTTTAGGGAATCGTCAGGGTGGGAACGTCGGGGTTGCTTTGGGCATGTGTCAGGGTTCGAACGTCGGGGTTGCTTTAGAGAATCGTCAAAGTTGGAACGTCAGGGTTGCTTTGGGAATTCGTCAGGGTGGGAACTTTGGGGTTGCTTTAGGGATGCGTCAGTGCTAAAACGTCGCATTTGCTTTTCGGATTCGTCAGGGTTAGAACGACAGGGTGGCTTTAAGGATGCGTCAGGATTGGAACATTAGGGTTGCTTTAGGGTGGGAGCGTCGACGTTCCTTTAGGGATGCGTCAGGGTTGAAACGTTAAGTTTGCATTAGGGATGCGTTACAATCGGAACATCAGGGTTGTTTTAGGGTTGCGTTGGGGTTGAAACGTCGGGGTTGCTTTAGGAATGCGTCAAGTTTGGATCGTCGGGGTTGCTTTATGGATGCGTCGTGGTTAGAACGTCAAAAATGATTTAGGGAATCGTCAGGGGTAGAACGTCAAGGTTCCTTTAGGGATTCGACAGGGGTGGAACGTCGGGGTTGCTATAGGGTTGGATTATCGGGGTTGCTTTAGGGATGCGTGAGGGTTGGAACGTCAGGGTTTCTTTAGAGATACGTTAGGGTTTGAATATCAGGGTTGCTTTAGGGTTACGACGTCAGAGTGCTTTAGGGATGCGTCACGGTTGGGACGTCGAGGTTGCTTTAGAGATGCGTCAGGGTTGGAACGTTGGGGTTGCTTTAGGGATGCGTCATAGTTGGAACATCGGGGTTGTTTTAAGGTTTAAACGTCAGGGTGGCTTTTGGGATGCGTTTGGGTTATACCGTCAAAGTTGCTTTAGGGGATCGTCAGGGTAAGCAAGTAAGGGTAGCTATAAGGTTAGATCGTAGATGTTGCTTTAGGGATGCGTCAGGGTTAGAACGTCTGGGTTGATTTAGGGATGCGTCAGGGTTGGAACGTCGGGGTTGCTTTG